CTTTGCTTCAAAAATTAGGCCTAAGTGCAAGCAAATGCCCTATTGAAACAGTTTTCCAATTGCTATTTACTTGGAATCAGTGTTATCGACATTTCGAAAAGTCAAAATTGTTTGAACTATTCAATGATGGCCCATCAGAAACTAGTAACCCACCAAAGGCGCCTGGTGTAGTTTATTGGTTACTTAGTTATGACCCAGATATTTTCGATTGACAGAGGGGTAAAGTCTGTTGTCGAACTTCGTAGGAGCCACACAACTCGTCGAGTTTATAGAAGGGTTGTCTAAATGCACAGTTTTCATTTATATTTGTAGGAAGATCTTCTTAGGTTGAGAAATAGCCCTCAATCTCGGATACTGCCACCTGATTTTGATGTATTCGCGAGAATTAAGAGGGAACTGTGTGTTGGAGCTTTATCTGGTGTAGTTGAAGCGATACCTAAACGATATGATAGTCGTAAAGGTATTATGTCTAGGCTGATTTTACAGTTGTAGCTCATGGTAATGACTTTAATAATACAGTGCGCAATGTAATAAGAAGGACCACAAATTCTATTCTCTTGTGTGATTCTGGAATTGTAAGGGTTCAAAGAAGCTGTCGAAAGTCATCAATTGTCAGCGAAGTGGAACAAATGGGGGAGGTTAACTATCCTGCTAAATGCCAATCATTTTCACGAGACTTCAACTGGGTTGATCATAAACCTGAGTGGTATGTTAATGGCCCCACTGTTGTTGAGGATCATATGGATTTACAAGAATGTAACGCATTATCTAGGGGTAAGATAGCACTTTTATCCTTAATTGTTTATGCTCAGGTGAGAAAGAAAACGAGTCACATCACCTGGTAGACCCTGAACACACTGATCGCTATTGTAGATCACTGGATTTTTATTTATACGTTTGCTTTTAGCGAAAGAATTGGAAGATTACTTGAAGTCACTGCTACTGCATAATAATAAAAAGGAATGTCGAAAACAGGGTTTGTTCTCAATAAATTTCATTTTATTTTAGGAGAACGCCCACTTAATATAAGAACGTTGAGAGAAATCGAAGCTAAGTTAGAGGCTAAGCCCTCAGAACCCAGCGAGCGGGGTGATATGAGTGCATTCTACAAACTTTTGGGTTTTTTTGATCGAATTTCCAAGTCTAATAATGTCACATCACAAGACAAAGGGAAGCAGCATCCTGACCTTAACATCGATCACTCAGATTTCACAGACGATAAGGTGAATATTTCAGACGAAGCAAAGCACAACATTTCACAGCCAAAGCTTATTAATAGTGACACTAGAAACTCAGATGCTGAAGTTCTTTCAATCCCAAACGAAAGTTCGTTTGTTTCAATAAACAGAACGCCGAAGTTGGAAGTCAGTGATATTACTAAACATGTGACGTGCAACCCTGTAACCGCCCCATATCAGCGACAGTTTATTGCATCTGGGCCCTTAGGGCAGAATGTAGGTTTTACTTACGGTATTATAAAGGTTTTGATTTAGGCACTCCGTTGGTTTAAGGCCATGGTTTGTTCGTTTTCTCTTCTTCTTTATGTTTTAGACTAATGCGGCTTCTGCAAATGTTTGCATAAATCATAATTTAGAAAGTTTTAAAACTTTACACACCAAACCAACCACAACAGGTACGCTTTTTTCCTTTGTCTATTTTTTTTACTTACTTAGCAAATGCATCTACAAATACTCAAGTTCCCAATACACCTCCGAGTGAAATTTCCATATCTTGTTCACTTCCAGCATATCAAAACCTACTCATCAATGAACAAACTAAACTGCCAGGTATTATAATTTGAAACCTTTCAATATGTAAAGTAAATTTTTCTTCGTATCACTTCAAAACAGGTCAAACTTTTGAAGGATTATTAGGATTGGGATACCCACACCGATCAATTAAATCAATGATGCTGCCATACCATTCCCATAGTGCTTTCTTTTTTAATCGCTCGATAGTTAACCCGTTTTTACTGCAGCAACTGATCCAAAAGCAGCTCAATTTTCGAAGTAAGCGAACATGTATTTGACGTTCTAATGGGGAAATGCTTGACAACTGTGACTAACAATATGATTTTACTTGATCATACATAGTGAATAAAATTTTCCGTGTTATTAAATTTCTAGTATCTGGTTAGTCTTCAATGTTTACGATTGCTCGGCTTAGCGTTATGGCACTTACAGTGACTATTTCAACTTAAGAATGGTTTATTTGAGTTCCTAAGGAAAACTATAAGTAGGTCTTTCGACATCACTGGCGTCTTGTGACGATAGCTGGTTTTGTCCCTCAGTTTTATTCTTTTACACTGACTTATTATCATCAGTTACCTAGTTTTGTTTGACATGTTGTTGGAAGCAACGAAATAGGCATACACTGGACCCACGAGAATGATACTGAAATATTTGGATTTGATGGATGATTTGTCTTATGTCACACAAAAATAAAGATTTAAAGAACAAAATCACTAAATTAGTAGGAGAACCGGCGAAAACAGGACTCCATGGGGACCGAGAAGAGACAGAGGTGATGAAGATACTTAACAAACAGTAACAAGCAGCAACCGCCCTCACTGGGAGAAATCTAGGGGAAACCACCTTTTCATTGATATATAGACAGCATCATTTCAATTACAGACGATGAAGTCGAAATAGACCCTCATTGTCCTGAAATCAGTGTGCGAATCTGCTGCGCTCGGAGTCAGAAGCAAGACCTAGTGTCAGGTCAGTCAACGCTTTTGTAAGGCTTGGAGACTTGGTGCGCGCGCGTCACCAAGAGCATTTCTAACAGACTGCATGCTTTCATCAACAGCTGTCTCGATACTAAAGGTCAGATGGCCCGAAGGGATAAGCGACAAGGAACTCCGGCAACAAACCAACTAAGAGCCTACTATCTAACAAATATACGGAGGAAAATGGGAATGGATTGGATATACATCCAGGTGACCGTTGAGTGACATCACGCGCCAGGTGAACCCTCGAGTGGAATCCTAATAGGAATTGACTAGTACGGCGTGTGTCCAAAAGTTACATGGAGGAAGTCATTAGGGTAGGATATGGAAGCTTGTGGACATTAGTGTGGCTAGCTGAGAAAGACTGCAGAAAACTAAGTGATGTAGATATCTGCTGTTGAAGTTCTACGTTCCACTCGTGACCCAAAGGAATAATAATGTAATACAGTAGGTCTGTTGTTTATATGTTTTAAGGCTCAGTTGGAGTGTTTAAGAGAGGCTAAAATGGTGTACGGTGCTGAATGGTAACCCTAACTGAATTTCATCAAGTAGTATCACTAAAGAAACAGCTATTACAAATGTTTCAGTGAAATTAGTCCAAACAAGTTATTTGTTTTTAGCTCCATCCTCCATTTCCTTTCCTTGTGAAATTTATTCTGGTTTTCCTGTCATTCCAGTCACGATGTGTGGTTAAAATACACTGACTGTGTGATCATTTGTTTTCTTCTAAGTGTTATTTTCTGACCCATAGGCATACTTAAATTGCACGGAAGCATAGTCAGCTTCATTATATTTCTCCAAAATTATTGTCCTGTTAATGGCTTTATAAGACTATTGAATTTAACTGAACTTTTTGTTGCCTTTTCGAATACACATTTCGTTAGAGCACTCTGGGTATTTTTTCATACATATATCACACGCAAAATGCCCCTTGTATTAGCACCCCAGTAATTTGAAGAGTTCAGTAGGTTTGAGTTTTCATAAAGTTATTATATATTATCCCTTTATAGGATACTGTATCACCATGTTTGTTTATTCACGTACTCTTGTCAGTTAGCTTGAAACGCCTCTCCGTTTGGCAAAATACTTCGAATTCCACATAACCAATTCATTGATTTTGTTTTCCATACTGTTTCTGATTCGCGTAACATAATTACAATTTGGTTAAAGGATAATAGACACTAGCGATTGTTACCGTACGATACATTGCCAAAGTATCATCTATGGAAGGATAAAGGCCGCATGTAGCTGAAGTAACCATCATTTTAGGGGAGCCGTTGCGGCATATATTTGGTTTTACCTCCAAACACCGGTACATGAAACTTAAAATTTTCATCAATTAATAGCGTGGAGGTATTGGCAAAGGTATGCATTTCAGGTAGAACTAAAAACATGTTGAGTCAAACCAAAAAGCTTAAGTGACATCGAGAAATCATGCTTCTAAAAGTCATTGGCTTTTTTGTGAGAAATAGTGTATTCTTTTTATAGTTTCAAAGGTCACTTGTTATGCTTTACCTTTACTCGATTATTTGGACTCTTAGGTGCAGCGCTGCAGTTGCCGTATCAGTATTTCCGAACACACTTATCAGATTTACCTAGTGGAAATTTCTATGCATCATTTTCTCAGTCTTCACCAAATGTTTCAGGAACCAAAAAGGTTTATTGGAAATCTACGCTCAATCGATACATGGAAAGTTGTCCATCCGTAATGGATAGCAATATCAAATGAATAGCAAGTTTAATTTCAAATAATAAGAATATTGAAATTTACTGACTGTAGTATTTCTGTGTTTTAATTCGAGTTCCGTATGTTCTTCAGGTCATCCTTGTATTAATGTGTTGTGTAAATACATTTTAGTGCTACTTATTTTCTTCTTTGTTCTGGTTTATTAACGCATGAAAGGTAGATGAGGATAGGCAGAGACTTGGACTTCACTGTGAAAAGAAAACTGTTCGGTATTTTAATCTTCAAAAAGGGAGTTCTCATTACTTCTTTTAATCCTATTATAGTATATTTCCACCTGACTGCCTTCCTCACTAGAAGAACATGTCTCTCAATTCGACGCCACAAAATAAGGCATTATGATCTATCGGAAGATAAGAACTCAACTGTATGAGTGGCTGAGTGATAGAATACTAGCCAACCACGTATGTGGTCTAGCATACGATATACGGCCGATGCAGTGCTAAAGTCGCTTAGCTGGTCGTAGTAAGCCTGGCAAGGAAGAAAGGTTGGGTATGATGCTAGCGACCCCACCCAGTAAAAAATAAACATGACTGCTACAGAAATTTCAAAGCCTAAGCTTGAAGTATAGTATTGCACTCGGATAGCAAAGGAGTAAAATATCAATAAAAATGACCCTAAATGACAACTGTTGCACTCTTCTCCCATTTCGACATCCACTAAAATTTGTGGATTCTTCAGTGATTTGTTGAGGAGAAATACATTGTCATATAATTAGTTAAAATGAATGTTAAGTACAATAGAAAAATGGCTGACTTAATACTTCTCATTGGCCCAATGATGTTAAACATTTTGATAAGGTTATCCTTAACACACAGTAGCACCAGTTAAGTTGTGAAAGACGAAGATTTCATCTCAGTATACCGAGATGTATAGTGTTTTCTCTGTAAGCAGGTTCTTAATTTTCCTCTTTGTCACTGAAACCTGTGTGATTTTCCAGCAGGATTCGTTTAAAGAGGTAACTGTTGTTTCTGTGATCTTTGAAAATGCATGAGCTATGTCACTGTGGATATGTTAGATTGTGGATCGCGTACGAAAACCTGAAAAAAAACGAATGAACAATGCGAAACATCTACTATTTCCGAAAAAACTGAAACAACGAAGTGGTCGACTTGATAGACCAGTTATCATATTCAACATTTTATCTGTAATAAAGATAATAATTGTACGATTTAAATGCAGTGCCGCGAAAATCTCCATTTAAACGGTTAAGAGAAATAAAGATTGAGTGAAGAAATATTTACTTTTCAATCAGATCTTCATCAATGATCATAAGTCATCCAATTTGTAATATCAATTTTATTTTGGCAACAGTGAAGGGAATTACAGTTCCTTCTACCAGTCAGAATTTATCTCATGTATTCTACTTTTAATTTACTGCAAGACTTATTGATAAGCCTAGATATGTACTGTCGTTCTTCTGAAATTTCACCTGATCACATAATTCTATTTACATCAAACCATTATTGTTATTATTATTCATCTCTTGAATTTACGTTAACAGAAGCCAATTCTCTTGCTGTACTCACACTTTATCTCCATTCAGTAATTGTAGCACACTGCTTAAAGCTTTAATTTTCATTAATTGTATATTCAAATTGACTCCAATTTTTCTACATTCCTACTAACTGTACATTTTGCAGTGCATTTAATTTACAACCAAAATTAACTTCATTTAGTTTTATATATAATATTTAGCCTTATTTGACTCGGTCTACGATAGAAAAATTTCTGACATAATTTTATATTCACTTTTACTGTCTGTTGTATGATACTATGTAACTATCTACATGTGTAGAGTCTGTAAAGGAAGTTAATGAAAATGTCTATTTCATGTGGATTGAAAAGACAGGTTAACACAGGTTACTCATTTCTTAACCCCTTTTCCCATCTGCTGATTTCAACAGTGTTTTGAAAGGTCATGGGAATGCCAACTTAAGTTAAATGTCATTGTCATTGAGAACGAAAACAGTAATAATAATTTGCTTTATTCCAAAACAGTACTAATGTTACAGTGTGGAATTTTCAGCATTTTGTACAATATTGTGTCGAATAATGTTAAAAACAATTATAAACATAATATTACAGGATTGTTAATGGCACTTCTTATTTGGTATTAGTAGGGACAGCAAGATCATAAACATAGAAAAAATTGTTAAATAATAATGATAATGTTAGTAGCTAAGATTGTCAGTTAATTGAGATAGTGCCCCCATAGATTACAAATAGGAGGCAATAAAAGAGGCAATTATTTTGCTAACAAAATAGGAGTCAACAAGTTTAACGCTTTACACTGTCTCGATTACATAGAACACGGGCCAAATATGGTATCGTTGAGTTCCTATACTTGGTAGTACGAGCATATAATCTTTGGTACT